AGAGGCTTCTGGAAAGCCAGACGTTGGCTGGTGGGACAACGGCCCTGCCAGCTTGAACAGGCCTCTGCCGACTAGCTGTGGGACTGTGGGCAAGAGGTGTCCTGACCCGGGTAAGGGAAATGTCTGAACTTACCCTGATGACCTCTCCTTCATCAGCGGCCACCCCACCTGGAGGGGCCAAGCCTTCCTTGGGCCCAGAAGGCACTCCCTGCCCACGGGGGCCCTGTCATGCTGCCCTGCGCTGGGCCTGGTAAAGGAACGGCCCGTGGTCACCGCGTGGGCCCCAGGGATCTCCCAGGGGGTTTTCACACCTGACTCGGGGGTTCAGTGTAGCATCTTTCCTTTGGGTTTTCAGAAAATCAGACCCGACAACGAGCTCTTTGAAGTCCGGGACAAGCCTGGCCCTGAGATGCCAAACATGGCTCCTTCTGTCACGAACAACGCAGACCTGACTGATGCCCGCGAGATCAACTTTGAATACCTGAAGCACGTGGTTCTGAAATTCATGTCCTGTCGGGAATCTGAGGTAGAGGGCTTCTGAGTCGCCTGTGGGGTACGGAGTGCCCGGCTCATTGGTCCGAGCCTCGCGTGGCCTCCCCCAAGTCCGTTTCTTTCCTCCTCTCCCACATTCTGATTTGCCCGCCAGTGTGGATGGCTCGTGCTTTCTCCGGCGGGCCGTGACCGCTGACTGCAGCGCGCGCGGGGGGCCGCGGGGGGTTGGGTGCCGAGTCCCGGGAGCTGAAGCGGCCCCACATTCCTGCACCTACTGAAGAGCAGGGCTGCGGCTGCAGGGATGTCCTGGGGATCGCGCCGGCTCCCGGAGGAAAAGATGGAGGGGAGAAGGACGGGTCATTGTGGTCAGACTGGAGAAAGCCCAACTTGGCCCTAAGCAAAGCTGGCGGGAGTGGACCTGGGAAGCGCTGCCATTTAGGGCCCCCAACCACCCGGCTCTGCCTCCACCAGGGCCCATGGCAGCGAAACTTTCTTTGTTCCAGGCTTTTCACCTTATAAAAGCTGTGTCAGTGTTGCTGAACTTCTCCCAAGAGGAAGAGAACATGCTCAAAGAAACCCTGGAGTATAAGGTAGGTCTCCGCGGGCTCGTAGAAACTGGAGTTACAGCCCGGTGCTGGCGGGGGCCGCGAGCTCCTCTGAGGATGCACTCGATTCCTGCGCGCGTGGCCCCGCTGCGCCCCGCCAACAGGCCTGGGGCTGGCCCGGACACTGTCACTGACGCGTCTGACGTCCACAGCCCCAGGTCTGGCCTGGCATCCAGACTTAAAAAAAAAAAATACAATATTCAGAAGGTATGTGCCGAAGGGATAGAACAAAAATACATTTCAAGACAGGATTACCTCCGGTTCCGTCACCTGCTTCTGGTCAAGTCCATGTTCTCCGGCTCCCCTCGCGTCCTCAGAACAGGCTCGGGGCCCCGCAGACCAGTCAGTGCGAGTAGCGTCTTCACCGCGAGCTCGTGGCGGGCATCACGGGGCGTGGCGGGGGCCACAGGGCGGCCTTCGGGCTTCCTCTGCACCTCACCCCGGTGCTCACCTCGAGCCCTTTCTGTTTCAAACACAGATGTCGTGGTTTGGGTCCAAGCCAGCCCCCAAGGGCAGCATCCGGCCCTCCATCTCCAACCCTCGGATACCCTGGTCCTAGATGGAGGCACCGACAGGCGGAGCGCCGCGCGATGACACTTTTTCTGTGAAAAGAACACTGACACACCAGTCCAGCTGGGTTTTTAATCACTGTAACTGCACTATTTTGTACAAGCGTCAAAACATTGTTTACAAGACTTAAGGCCGCCTTCCCGGCAGACTGACCCGAGCCTCGGAGCTGGCTGACCAGTGTCCTTGCGCTCACCGAGCCGGAGGGTCCTGGCGCGCCCCACATCTCCCCAGCGCTGCTCGCATCCCAGCTCCGGCCGCTGCCCGTCTGCGCCGGAGCCCGCCGAGTGTCTGCGCTCGCGCTTGAAGCTGCAGCGGCCGCCTCGGGCAGGGAGGAGGCCCGGTCCAGCCCACGGAGATGGCTCTGGGGTGAAGGCGGCCGGTCGGAGTGGTGGTCGCGGGCCTGCCCTGCCTGCTTCTGCTGCACACAGCAGCTCGCTGGGCTGGGCTTTCCCGGTTAGCATGTCTGGGGTCGGATGAGCTAGAAGAGGCTTTTTAACCCTTCCTCTCAAGAAAACATTATTTCACCTTGTTTCCCAAACCACCCAGAGCTTGAGGCGTGCACATCTCTAAGGCACTCTGGGGCCAGTGTGGACTCCTGCATATGCAACTGACAGGATCTCACCTTACTGAGGAGAACTAGCAAATCTATAAAAAAGATCCTTAGTACCAAATACACTCAATTGCCTTTTTTAATGAATGTACTTGTCTTGGATAGGTTGCTGGTAAACCATTTTAAACTATTTTTTATAGCTAAAGTTCTTCGCTATTATAAACATGTCTCTGTATTATAAAATCCATTTAACTGGTGTTCTTGAAGGCAAATCAGAGCATCAAGAGGAAACTATTTCTAGGACTGGGACGCCTCTCCCTTTTTTAATTTCACTAGCATTCTGTGGTCTCTGCTTCCCTCTGAAGCAGTGGTGGTTATTTCGTTTGCTTTGCTTTTAATTACCTGTTGTAAGACTGAGCAAATGCTAATCCCGTTTGCTGCGGTTAAGGACCGTCTGCTCCATTCAGGGGAAGTCGTTGTGGTCCCCTCCATCCTCGACCAAAACATCCAAAACATCACCTTGTATGTGGAGCCACCCCCTCTCCCCCCAACCCCTGCCCCTACCTCTGCATATTTAAGCCAACACTACATTCCGGACTCCAGACAGCCCCCCCACTGGCCATAGTGCGTGACAGCATGCCAGTGGCTCTGGCAGGGACCCATGAAAGCTTGTTCTCTTACTAAGGAAAGGGGAACGCGCTTGCACTGGATAATCCACAGTACGGACTCCCAAGAGACTGCTAACTGATTTCGTTTGACGCAGGTTTCACTGGTTAAATAAAAAGCTGAGTTAATAACAGGAGCTCCTAAATTTATTTTCAGTTAGCCAATGATGTAAAGTTACGTTTCTCAAAAATGCATAGGGTTAAAATACGTAAAATATAATCTCACGGGAAAACAGGGATTTGCCAAGTAAATGTACTACATGTCCGCAGACCCGGAAGTACCCAGCAAGGGCAGCGTCACCGTCCTCCCAGCTCAGCTCTCTACCACCCCTCCTGGTCGCCAGTCACCTACCTCCTCCCGTGGCTCCTCCCTGCAGATGGCTTTCCTTTGTTTAGAATATTATTTTTCCTTTATCTGGTGGGGACACAAGATAGGAATTGCTTCTGTGCTGTAACTGTGGTAAGAGGCGGCTTCTCCAGCTGTGCCAGGAGTCTCCCCACGTTGGGTGGCTCAGGGCTTGCCAGCGGCTCCGAGACAGCGTCAGTGCAGGGGGTCCCCTGTTGACTACGCTGTGGCCTCCCTGCCCACAGGCCCCCCGCAGCTTTCACTCGGCCTGGACTAGCTAAGGGAGGCTTCATTCTGAGTAGGCTTTCCTCCTGCACGTCGGATCTCCTTCAGCTTTAAGAGGAAGAGTGGAGTAAATATCCCAAGTGATTCAATGCACTTTTACTTGTATAAAACGTTCTGTGATACAGTGTGTATAGCCCTTTATATGAGCATCGGAGTTGGATCGCTCTCCATGTTGTAAATAGGACTTGTACTATCTAAGACTGCTGTAGAAAATTCATTTGTGGTGTCACTTTTTGATTAAAGCTCTTTAATCTGGATGCAGCTTCCGTGGGTTTTGCTTGATAGTCTGGTGTATCAGTATTTGACTAAGGAAATTTTAGTGCTTTGTGTCTCCGAGGCAAATTTCCTGGACTATGGAACAGACCTCCCAGTTCGGTGAGCAGAGGTGTGGGGAGAGCAGCGAGCTGGGAGAGCAGCGAGCTGGGAGAGCGTGGCAGCTGCGTCCTTTCCCCTTACGTTCCCAAGTGCGTCTTTTGCATTTGGCTATTGCTGCAAGTGCAGAAAGGGGAGCGAGGGGAGATGGCTATAGAACATTTGTCTTTTTTTTTTTTTTAAAGATTTTATTTATTTATTTGACAGAGAGATCACAAGTAGGCAGAGAGGCAGGCAGAGAGAGAGAGGAGGAAGCAGGCTCCCCGCTGAGCAGAGAGCCCGATGCGGGGCTCGATCCCAGGACCCCGAGATCATGACCCGAGCCGAAGGCAGAGGCTTCAACCCACTGAGCCACCCAGGCGCCCCAGGACATTTGTCTTTCAGAAAGCACTCCCACCCCGGATTTAGGTAAATATATGTGACTTAATGAAGGCAGCAGCCTAGTCCTACCTCCCAGGAATGGTGGAGGTTCTGCAGAGGAATTGGAAGGATTGTGTCCCTTTGGTCAAGGTCTTCTCTCTGAGAACCACATCAGTGGGGTCCCTTAACAGAATGCAGACTGCGGTTCCATGTGCTTAGAAGGTTACAAACACATCCTGCTCTTCAAAGCAGCTGGCTGTTAGTGGTTATGGGAACAAAATGTTCCTTTTGTATCTATAGGCTGACGGTACCTGTTTCTGGCTTTTAATCCTTCGAAAAAAATTTGTCATCATTTGGGTAAGGGTGTTCCTGCCACAGAGCCCCGGCCAGTGTCAGGAGATGGTGACCAGGCCCTTCCGGGGCACGCGCCCAAGAGATTCCACATGTAGTCACACAAACTAAAGACTTTAAAAGCCTAGATCAATTATTGAATGTTTGGTACTTTATTAAATAAGCTTCAAAATTACATACAAATCAAAGGAGTAAAACCAATAAATAGTTGTCCGCCAAACTCTGTCCCCACAGCAGCCCGCAGCACGGAGCCCAGGCCAGAGGTACTGCGGCGGCAAGAGGGCCGGACGCCACGCTCACTCCCCAGGACCGGCTCTGCGGGGCGCGCCCACCCCCACAGCAGTTTCTCATTCATTACCGTCCCATTCCGTACTCACTTCACATACACGAAACACACCGCAAAGTACATACTAATAAGCCAAGAGCTTTATTGATGCAGCAGGCACTTTACAATGAATCCAAGAGAGCCCGTCTTCTCCGGGGAGATGGGGCGTCTGTACAAACCCTCGAAGTTTTACTACTTCAAAAAAACAAGCTCTCCCTTTGACCACAGCCCTTGGATCTGTACCTGCCTAGATCGTCCCTCCCCCACGTGAAACAGGCAGAGCACACGGGTATGCCCGACCAACGCCGGCCAGCCGCTCCGGTAGACAGTTGCGTCAGTTCTGTGTTACTCGTGGACAAAGGCATAGACTATCAGATCCTGCAAAGGATTTAGGAAACAGACGAGTTCTCCCTCCACCTTGAAAATAAAATACACTTCAGCGGATGCATGTCCTGAAATACTTTAGTTGGAAGTTCCTAAGAAGATGGTCCACTGGCAATCCCTTCTTCGTCAGCCTGTGCATCCAAAATTCTTCTCAAGGTAACATGAGTCCTTTTATTTTTTTAAACAGTCTTTCTTGCTGTAAGAACTCTTATAATGGAGCCTAGTCCTCCTACTGCTAAGGCCTGTGGGGGCAGGAAAAGGAAAGGAGTCAAATGAGACCTGGCTGACCCAGGGGGAGCCCGGCTTGCTGGGGGACGTGGGACCCATCACAGCTGCCTCCCCGAGCCCTCCTTAGAAATGCCAACAGGGCTCAGCACCAAGTCACCTTAAAGGGACCAAAGTGCCTGGCCTCCACAACAGGCACACGGCTTGCTCAGTCCCTAAGTAGCACAGCCACCACCCCCTCCCCAAGCCCTAGTCACCTTCTGGCTGAGCAGGCCCAGCATGCCCAGCAACACGACCAAAGGCCACTGCAGCCCAGCACCGAGGCTGCCCAAGCGGCTGACCCCTCCGAACTCAACAGAGCCTCTGGGGAAGGGCATGGCGTCAGCAGTAGCCTGGCGTGCGATCGTGACGAGCAACTCCCCGTAGCTCCACAAGGGGGAAGCTGGCTGGATGAAAGGCCTTGCTCTTGTAACGACCTGAGCAGGGGACAGGCACAGCTCTTCGTGCCTCCGGTGGCTGAAAGCCCTATTCAGTGAACATCCAGGTTTCTGCCCCTGCCCCCTCTGACCTGGTGAGGCCGAGGCCAGAGCAGGAAGCCCTGAGAGTCCACTGGAGGGCTCAGCCTGCATTCCACTCCTGTGACCTGCGCCCCCCGGCCACCCACCACCACAAAGAAGCTGCCTCCCTCCCACCTGGGACTCCCTGTCTGTCTCACCATGCCACATCACCTGTCCCCAGGACATGCCCGGCACAAATCAGCAGCTAAAGCAATTGGAACTCCCAGAACCAGTGAACCCCTACCAGGTGCTGCCACGGGAGAAGCGACCAGACGTCCTAGGTTGTTTAAGGCGTAGCCCCTTACTCTCCAACGCCTGGCGCACTGTCCTGTGTTCGTCTCGGAACCTCTGGCCTCCTGACGTGAACCCTGGGGCAGGGGCCAGGCGGGCACAGGCCACCTGTGCGGGCAGTGTGCTCACGTACCTTTTCATGCCACTGGAGTAACACTGCGCTGCTGTTTTCTGTGGGCTTCTCAAAGCCTTTATAAATGTACTTCATTAGCAAGTCAATGCCATTTCTGTCCAGCGACTGGACGGCCTGCTCAATTTCACTGCTCTTAAAGTTCGTGAGCACTTTCAGCACCACGCCCTGGGCTCGTTCCTGTGAAGCAGAGAGAAAGGGAGTGACGCCCGGAGCCTAAGCCCAGGCACACCCACGTCCTCCCAGACAGGCACAGAAATGCCAAACCGAGCGGTCAGAACTCTTAGAAACACTGCCCCGTTTCTCGTTTGTCTGGGACGGTTACGACGTTAAGTGGCCGATAAGTTATTCCACTTCTTTGGGGGAGAGTAAGTGGTCTACGGGAGAGAAGCGTCCCTGCTCCTGAGGACACCTGCAAGGCTCAGGCTCCCCAAGATCCCAACCATGGAGATCGATTTTCTTAACAGGTCCAAGAAGAGCTGCAGCTCCGCTCTGCATTCACCCCAGTAAGAGAGGGGCCATTTCCCTCCACCTGAGAGGGGCAGCCGTGGCTTACGTCAAGACGCTATCACAGACAGCAAAACCCCCGCTTCAGAGAGACCCCTTTCCCTGGAGCAAACTTTCCACAGCTTCTAAACAGTCGTGATCGTATCTTCTCAACTTTTGAAAAGGCAGGAAATGATAAAAGCACTAAGTATCCTTAGGCAAGTAAAGCCTATTCGATAACCTTGAAAGCCAAACCACTGCTAAACCACTTGTCCCACGGGGCAAGCTAATTTATAGTTTTGCTAAGCAGCAAGGGCTGGGTCGACTTCTCGCCCCAGGAAGCCCTGGGGAGGCGTGACTGTTTCTTTGGGGAGCCTTTACTATAAACGCAGACAGGCCTGATGGCAGGAGTGCCAGGAGGCTGCCATGGAAGCACTGCCCAGCGCCAACTCACTCCCTCAGGAGAGCCTCGCTGAGGCGGACGCACAACAGACGCCTGTGTGGAGCCCCGCGGAGCCCTCACTCAGCTGGGGACACAGTCAGTCACGGTCACGGCCCTGGGCCCGGCAGCACCCGGCAAAGCCACAGCTGCACCCCCTTTACCTTCAAGGCCTGATTCTTGGTGTTGACGGGAGAGTTCCGCAAGGCAGCGTGGAAGGCCCGAAGCATGTCCCCTGTGCATCACCACCGGTTAAGGACGGTTCGGCTCAAGCATGCCCACGCTTTTCTTAACAAACTCATTTCAAAAACAGCTTGAGAGAGAGGACTCAAACAACATCCACATGCCCCCTCCCCTGCGCCCCACTGCAGATGTCAGGTGTGGCCAGAGCCCAGTGAGAGAGCAGCCTGTAGCTCCCCAGAGCCACACCTAGAGCAGAGGGCCCCTCTACTGTGCAAGGCCCCTCCTTCTGCCGCCCCCAAAACGCATTTGGACACTCCTTCCCTCCCACCCTAGGAGGCAGGAGCAGAGCAAGTGCCCTCTCGGGGTGACCCGCGATAGAGGCTGACTGAGCCCACTGGCACCTGCTCGGTCCTAGGCACCGGGTCTTCCCTGGGGCTCCTCACCACGCTGATGCGAGGCTGGCCCTCCCACTTGTTCCTTCTCAAAAGGGAAGGACGAAGGCACAAATGGAGATCTCCTAACGCTTAATCCAAAGTTTTATCGAAGCCACTGCTAAAGAAATTAAGATGTCCTAAAATTGCTATCTTTCAAGACCCACCCGGGTCTGTGACATCCCAACTATTACTAGAAGGGAGATTTATTAATCTAAAAGTTTTTCCCCAAAATACGAGTCAATCCCCACTTCCCTCAGCCTCAGTTGCAATCCTGACACATTCTTTGCTGAGGTCTGAATGCACAGCACTGACAAGAAAATGACAATCTGGGTTAGGTCCCCAAAGGTGACACCTATTTTAAACTGAATTACATCAGCCAACTTTCATTTCCTCATCTGAAACACTGGCTTCAGCCAAAAAGCTTCAAAAATAGAACAAGGAATGGCTTCTGCCCAATCAGGTCTCTACTCCTGGTTGCGCAGCGATACCTACGTGTGAACGGAGCCTCCGGAGCAAAGCCCCGTCCCTTCCTCCCTCGTGTGGGCTCCATCCTGACCCTTCTGGGCCCACACCACCCAACGGCCACACCCACTGAGCTCCCCACACCCTGCCGGGCCCGATCCACCTTCTACAATGGAGAGGCAGCCCACCCCCCCCGTCTCTGCTGCCTTTGGAACTCCTTCTCCTCGGCCAGGCAAGGGCCAGTCTGGTATCAGCCACTGATAACTTCTACCTTGGCACTGTTTTCGGATTTGGCGTCCCAGAGCAATATGCAGAGTCTCAGCGGCTTAGTAGGAAACGGAGGCCGGCTCTCTCCGCGAACCAGCGTGGCTGGCAAACACAATCTTCGAGGGATGGATGGGGCAGGGTAGGGTCCCTAGTCCACGGGGGCAAAAAGTCACTGCTTTAGTTACCTCGGTAGTGCCAGTCTACCAAGCATTCGCCATAGGTGTTGATGGATACAGGCCCTTTAGCAGCTTGGGGAGAACCGGGAAGCAGGGGGTGCACAGCATGTGTCAGGCTGGACCCCAGGTTCAGCTTACAGAACATGCTGTGGAGGCTGGGGACCGCTGCCCCTCATCTCTAGGTCAGGGTTTCTCAACCACAGTGCTTTTCACATTACAGACCACACGGCCGGCGTGAAGTCTGTCCTGTGCGCTCACTGCACTGTATTTAGCAGCAACCCTGGCCTCTGCCCACTAGATCCCAGCAGCGTCCCCCAAGTCGGGACAATCAAAATGTCTCCAAACAGTGCCAGATTTCTTCAGGGGGAGGAGAGAGTGCAAAATTATTCAAAACCACTGCTTTGGACACATCCCTGTTCCTGAGACCAGAAGGTTCTTCAGTAAGGAAGAAAAGGAATGGATATTTAAACTCCCTACAAGGTCTCAGCCCCTGTGCCAGGTGCTTTCACATGTCATCTCAATACTGCTACCAACACTCCGGGACAAGAATCCTTATTCTCATTTGAAAGGCAATGAATCTGAGGCTCAGAGAAGGAAAATGACTTCCCCAATGTCAAAAAGGTAAGCTGTCCAGCTGGCGTTCAAATCCAAGTGTGCCCAACTCCAAAGCTAAACTCTCTACCAAATCCCCTACTGTCGTTCTACCCAAAGACCCAAACTACAGCAGTCCAGGACACTTGCTGCGTGCCCAGCACTGTGAAGCCTCTGCAAGGTTGTTGTGATGCTCCCACGGAACCTGTAAGGGCAGCCTTGTTCCCCTCCTGTTCACAGGAGAGGCTGAGGTTCAGACAGGGTATGAGGTCACACAACTATAGCACAACAGAGTTAGGTCTGCATGGATACATGGCCCATGTTCTAGTTCATCGGAGTGATTTCCTACCATGACTCAATTCCCTAAAGGACAGTAAGACACAGGCCTCCTCCTCCCTACCTTCCCCCACTCCAATTAATCAATCTCTATCCCTAATCCTCTGGCCTCTGTTCTAAGCTCCTAGCAGCCTACTCTATAGTTTAAATTCGGTGATCTAATGTAAGTCCAATTCCTGGCACATGGTAGGGACTCAGAAAATACCAGTTCCTTCCTCCTCCCTCCCTGGGCTCCACATGTGCCAGGATTTCAGTTCTCGTTGATAACCTCCCTTTCCCCAATCCCGAGGTAGACAGTCTATGGTAACAAGGTTTCTGACACTGTCACTAGTGGAGAAACGGCCACCAACTCGATGTGCTAAACCTCAGCCTCCAATTAGCCTCAAGGAACCTGTCATTAGTCAGGGGGTGTACCAAGAGATGACCTTCAACAAGTATCTGTAGCACCAGGACCAAGACAGCAGATAACCAGACTCTGTTCTCCCCATCTGGGGATGGTCCTGGCCACAGACCCAACCCTGGAGCCTTTTTGGTACTGCTTGCCCATAAGCCACGTCCTGCACCAGACTGCAGAATCAATCTTCCCTCGTGAGGGTCCGTCTCATGACCCCATTTCATCAATGGGGTAAGCAGGGTGGTCCTGATGGGGCAGGAAATACAAGGTTGAATCCCCACCTTTGAAAGCACATTCCTGTTCAAACAAAGTCTGGTTTTTGTTTCAAAGGCACACTGGAGGAACCCCGCAGGGCTCCTCCCTAAGGTAGTCCTCGGGCCTGCCTTCCCAAGGTGAGTCAACTGATTAAACACCCAGAACCTGGTTTATATACAGCATGAGCCTCCAACCCTGCCCTGGCAAGTGCGGGGGAGGGGCAGGCACTTCCTGTAACACCATTTGAATAGAGAAAAATCCTTCCTGTGAGAATAAGTTAGTTTCCTGTGCTCAAACTGCTCAGGGACCAAGCAGGCTGTGACAACCACCTCTATTTTTAATCCTGTTTTCTAAATGCCTGCCTTATGCGGCCATAAGAATAGTCATTTCCAGTCATGAGGTTCTACTTTTACATTTCACTTGGTGCTGTCTGGATTTTCTTAGCTCTCAACTACTAGTTCTTCCCGGCTTCCCGCACAAGAAGGCTATTTCAGGGAGGGAGCCAAAAGTGACTTCTTGAACGTGGCTGAGACCATCAAGCTCCACAGCCCAGGGTGTTCACAGGAAACCGAGAACAGGTGAAAAAGAGTGGCATTAAACGGGAGGTCAGACTCCTTCTGGGGTGCGAGGTGCACAATCTCTCACCTCAGGGCTGGACTAAGGCTCCAGCCTTCGCTCCCCCTTGGTTCCTTTCTACCCCTCAGCCATCCACCCACCGACCTTCATGTGCTGCTGCAAGCCGGCCCAAGAGGACTGTGCCCGGGAGCCTTCTAGGCCGCTCAATTACTCAGCGGGGCTCACCTCGGCCCCTCCCGCCCATCTAGCTCGAGAATGGCCCCATTTCCTGAAAGGGAGGGATGGAGCGAAGGGGAGCCAAACGCACAGTCTGAGGGGATAAGGAGACAGAGGGGGAGAAAAGAGGGCAGGCCTCGCGGTAGGGTGAGGAGCCTGCGGGGAGGCCAGGGTGTCGGGCGTGCTTCTGGGGCTGGTGAGCCGGCGGGTCCAACCGGGGCTAGGCGCCGCGCTGAGGGAGGATCCGGGGAGCCCGGGACAAGGGGAGTGGGAAGACCGGGTGAGAGGAAAGGGGGGATACCCGCAGTAAGGGAACCTGGCCCGAGGGGGACCGGATGGGAAGGGACTTGGGAGACGGACCTCAGGGGCCCGGGGGTGAGAGGAGTACGGAGACCGGCCTGAGGGGCGCCCGGGCCGCCGCGCTGGGTAAGGATATTGCCGCAGAAGGCCGTCCACCTCGCTAGGGTCCGGGCCTGGCTCGCCCGCCGCCGCCGCCGCCTCCTCCTGCTCGTCCACGAATTTGTTCTCGTCAAACTCGTCGATGTCCACCCGACGGAAGCGCGAGGACAGCGTGTTCCGGGCCATGGCGGGGACTCGGCGCCCGCTCAGCCCGCTCCGCTCGGGGTCCGACCTCGGCTCTACCCAGCTCGGCACCGGCTCAGGCTCGGGGGCGGGAAGCGGCCGACCGGCGCCTCCTCCACCTCCTCCGCGCGCAGACACCGCCGCCCGCCCACTTCCGGGCTACGCCGGAACCGGAAGTTCCGGTGGGCGGGAGGGGCGGGGCCTGGGGGAGTGGCTGGGAGCACTGGAGAATCCGCCTGATAATCAGCCTGATGGCGCCCAGTCGGACCCTCGTCTTTGGGAAACCTCATTCTTGTGGTCTGCGGAGCGGGCACTCTGTCCCCGCGCAGGCCGAGCATCGTGGACATCATAACTGCGCTCAGCTTCCCTCCTGAATCCGAGGAGCTCCTGGTACTGGCAGGGACCTGCGCGGACACTGCCGCGGACCCGGTGGGTCATTGCCCAGATTGAGGGTGCACGGGCCCCCAGGAGAAGGCTCCCGGCTCTGCTTGTCGAGTGCTGGGCAGACTTCTTTGAGAAAATAATCTTCGAGCTGAAGCCTTAGTAGTTCTTACAGCTCCAGGAGTGACGGGGTGTGGGACCCTAATTCTCGGATCTTAGGAAACTTGAACGCCACCACAGACCTCGGAGGAAGTTGCCTCTGCCTTGTACACAGTGACTTTATTGTTAACGGACTGGGAAACTTTAAAGACGTTTAGAGTGTATCCAAAGTGCTGACAACACAAAATATTTGGTTTTGGACCCGCGAGTGTAGTGGTCACCTGGACCTGGCGGGTCGGGGGGCGGGGAGAGGAAGATGACCCTGTGGTCACCAACCTAACGGAAAGGGCAAGGTCCTGCGGGTTAAGAAGTCAGTTCTGGCTGGAGAGGCATATCCTGGTGGGAAACCGAATCCCCAGAGCTTGAGACGGGGAATGATGGGAGTGAGGGCACTAAGGGCAGAGTCAAGGACGACTCTAGTGCCAGGATTGAGTGCCTGCATAGTTGCTCGAGGGATTCTTTTTTTTTTTTTTAAGAGTTTATTTATTTATTTGACAGATGGAGATCACAAGTAGGCAGAGAGGCAGGCAGAGAGAGAGGAGGGGAAGCAGGCTCCCCGCTGAGCAGAGAGCCTGATGTGGGGCTGGATCCCAGGACTCTGGGATCATGACCTGAGCTGAAGGCAGAGGCTTTAACCCACTGAGCCACCCAGGTGCCCCTGCTGGAGGGATTCTGTTAATAGGCCTTAACCTTAGATTAAATTGGGTCTTTTTTTCCTACAATTGTACTTTTTTTTTTTTTTTTTAAGATTTGTTTTTAAGTAATCTCTACCCCCCAGCGTGGGGCTGGAAATTACAGCCCCAGGATCAAGAGTCACTTGGTCTACTGACAGAGCCAGCCAGGTGCCTCTAATTGTACTTTGGCCTTTAATAAAGGCCAATAGTTACTGAAATATGACTCGTTTTTATTGTCCCAAATACTTTCCACTGAATTGTGTCTACAGATAAAAAAATATTGCCAGGTTATGATGCTACCTAATCTTGGGGGCTAAAGATACAGAATCTTAGCTGGGAAGTAGGTGCTGAGTAAAAGTCTCAGGGGTCCTAGAAACAAAGCCCACCTGCCTTTCAACTCCATTTCTTGAAAGAGATCTTTATGACTCAGGCAGGCTACAAGACAGCAGAAATTGATAATCCCCAGAACTTCCTGGTCAGAAGGAACTTTAAACCAGAAATGCTGGCACGCCAGGGTGGCTCAGTCAGTTAACCGGCTGGCTGCCTTTGGCTCAGGTTGGGATCCAGCCCTGCACTGGGCTCCCTGCTCGGCGGAGAGCCTGCTTCTCCCTCTCCCTCTGCTCGCCGCTCTGCCTACTTGTGCTGTCAAATAAATAAATAAAATCTTTTAAAAAATAAAAAATAAATAAACCAGAAATACCCATTTTACAAGTAAGGATATAGCCTGTTCTGGTGAAAGCAATAGTGACCCTACTTATGACTGTGGATCTCCCAGCCATGGAGGTAGAATTTTAAAAGTCTATGTCAGGGATGACTGCATGCTGAGGGTAATAAAACCACACAGTGCCTGGCAGTACATTAGATAAAATGGTCAGGAGAGAGGTCCCTGAGGGGCACCTGGGTGGCTCAGTGGGTTAAGCCTCTACCTTCAGCTCAGGTCATAATCTCAGGGTCCTGGGTTTGAGCCCCACGTCGGGCTCTCTGCTCAGTGGAGAGCCTGTTTCTCCCTCTCTCTCTCTCTGCCTGCCTCTCTGCCTGCTTGTGATCTCTGTCTGTCAAATAAATAATAAAATCTTAAAAAAGAGAGAGAGTTCCCTGAGGAGGTGACAATGATCAGGGACCTGAAAGAAGTGAAGGAGGAAGCGAAGCAAAAGCCAAGAGATTGGGCTGACCTGGTATATTCAAGAGACAGAAAGGTCATCCTGGAGTGCAAGAGTGAAAACAGATGAGATGGAAGTGGGCTATAAAGAGGGTGCTGTAAGGTTCTGTAGGCTGAGGAAAGGATGTGATCTACCTCATGGGACAACACTGGAAATTCCAGGCAGTGACATGAGCTGACTTAAGTTTGAAAAGGGTCCCTTTAACAGCTGTCTTGAGAATATGTGAGAATATAAGCCAATAGTAGAGAGACAGTTTAAAAGGTAACACCAGGAATGCTTGGGTGGCTCAGTTTGCTAAGCAGCTGCCTTCTGCTTGGGTCATGATGCCAGGGTCCTGGGATCGAGTCCCACATCAGGCTCAGCGGGGAGCCTGATTTTCCCTCTGCCATCTGCTCCCCCTGCTTCTGCTCTCTCTCTCTCTCTCTGACAAATAAAATCTTTTAAAAAAGTAAATAAAAGGTGACATCATCAGTCTAGGTGACAGGCAATGATAGCTTAGGCCAGGCAGTTGGCATTAAGAGTGGTGGGAATATGTTGAGTTATTTTGAAAGTAGAGGTTGCAGAATTTACTGGTGTGCTGGATATGGCATTGTGAGAGAAAACGGGAGTCACAGATAACTTCCAAGTTTAGAAAGATGTGCACAGTCATTAGCTCTAAAAGAACTATAAACATTTGGAAAGTATGACAGCAAAGTCTCTGCACCATTCAACTTCCTTTTAAGACTAATACATGCCAGGATTGCCCTCTGTCTGCCCTCTCTTCCCCATACCCATCCACTTCTTGGAAGCCTGCCTCACGATGGTCTGTAGCAAGGCTCATTAATTCATTCATCCAACAAGCATCCATGTGTTGGGCCTGGAAACTAGATAAATAAATCAGATGTCAGCCATGGTTCTACCAGGGAACTTCCAGGCTTGCTGTGGAGACAGACACATAAACATTTAACTCAGGATATTTGGGGCTAAAGAGAGGATTGCCCGGAAAGCTTGGGACATGGGGCACTTGGCTGGCTCAGTTGGAAGAGCACTACTCTTGATCTCAGGGTCAATAGTTTGAGCACCATGAAAGATGCAGAAACTACTAAAAATAAACAAATAAAGGACAACAAAAGAAAAAGTTTGGGACAAAAGGGAAGTAGTATCCCGATTTAGTCCGATGGGCTAAGTACCATTTATAGAGCCCCATAAGGGAATGGAAGGCTTACTGGAACTTGACAGCAACAAGGGGGCAACCTGGCTTTCACTAAGCTCTAAGGTGTTGGTGCATCTTTGTTTACAGCAATGAAGTGACACTAGAGAGATTCGTGCTTGCTGGTTGAGGCAGCAATGAAACTGCTCAGTCAAAAAGCCTGAACACCTTCCCTGCTTTGTGAATTTTCCTTTAACTTTCAGCATTCATTCCACTGGGTACATTATGAACTCAAGCGTTCATTCCACTGGGTGCATTAATACCAATGACATTTTGAGTGACTGTTATACATTAGATCTTGTCCTCAGTTTTCCATGGTCCTAATCCTCAAAAATACCCGTTTCACAGGTGAGAAAACTGAGACTCAGAAAGGGGAAGGGATTTGCCAAGAGTCTCCGCGAGCACGAGGCAGCAGAGCAAAAATTTGAAACCGAACGGTTTCACTAAAACAAAGGCTCTGAATGCTCTTTCCCCTGCCACAAGCTGCCTCCACTAGAACGGCTTATAGAGTTGGGGGTACAGTTGTCTGATCCTGCCTCTCCCCGCCCACTTCCGATTTTAAAAATTCTTCCAAGGTAGAAGCCATGTTAATTCATCTTTGAAAACCCTCAACCCTCATCCCCTTCATCCCTAGGGCACTGGCGCCCAGCTCAGAGCAGCAGACTGCGCATCCTGCAAGGTCCACCGAATGAATGAATGAACGAGTAAAGGACTAAAGGGAGGAATTCGAGTCCTCACTATGCCATCACCAGTAAGCAGCCGGTCACCCGGGCCTCGGTTTCCCCAAGCGCTCTGCTCAGGAGACGAGGCAGACCAGGGGAATCGCAGACTCGGCGCTCCTCCGGGCGGGGCTAAACCGGCTGTACCCAGGCGCTCCCGGAGGCGAGGCGGGTGGAGGCGTCAGGGGCGGAGCTAGGGCTCCCTCGCTGCGGGGCCATTGGCCGCACCCGCCGCCACCCGGCAGTAGTCGTGGAGGTCAGCCCCGCCCCTTCCTCTTTCCCTCGTCCTCTTTCCGGCGGCGGCGGCTGCGGCAGATCGTGCAGAAATGGTGAGGGCGGTGGAATCGGGTGCCATCCGCGCGCTGTGGGGCTCGGGTCCTGGGGTGGGGAGCTCGAGGTGAGCACTGGGGTCCCATCTGCCAGCCGGGCTTGTAAGGCGCCGTGCGGAGTGGCCTCGTGCCGCCACAGCCGGTCTCCCACCCTCTCCCCTTGCTGGGTTGGGCCCGCGCTCCCGGCGCCTCCGTCTTCCAGTCTGCGGAATGGGGGTAGCGGCTCAGCCTCGCTTTAGACCTGGGTGAAGGCGGGCCCGCCGGGGCGTCGGTCACCCTTCCCAAGACATGGCCTCGGCGAGGGAAGCTGGCCCTGGCGCGCCCTCCTGGGGCTGTCAGGCCAGGGAGGGTGGCTGCTGAGCGGGGATGGGGAGGGAGGCAGCCCTATTGGGTGGTGTTTGATCCACACCTGTACTTGCTTTCAGGCCAAGATTAAGGCTCGAGACCTTCGCGGCAAGAAGAAGGAGGAGCTGCTTAAACAGTTGGAAGACTTGAAGGTGGAGCTGTCCCAGCTGCGCGTCGCCAAAGTGACAGGCGGCGCGGCTTCCAAGCTCTCCAAGATGTGAGTGAAGGCCGGTTCTCTGGGTGTGGGGCACACCTGTTCACCCGAAGCATGTGTGGGTTTTCGAGGCTGTCTAAAGGCAGCGTCGGATTAGGTGATCATTGAGCGGACGCGTGGGTGGGAATGTCTTGTCCGTCCTACCAGCCTCCCCAGGCTCCCCTTGCTCGCACCCAGCCGCAGGGGACACCGCTGTCTGATTGACCTTTTGTCTGCCTTGGACCATTTTGCCCTTCTGCCTGGAGTGCCCTTGCTCAGCTTCTCTGTGACGGGAGAAGGAACAGATTGTCCCTCCAGACCCTTTTTCAGGCTGCCTGGAAAAATCTACCTGGACCCTTTTTTAACCACCTTCCACCAGCACTTGATTTTTTTCCCCCCTCACTTGGTAGGTGGGTGCCTTGGGCCCACCCCTCCCTTGAGTTGTAGTTAACTTATTGATTTACACGGATCAAGAATCAGGGCTTGTGGGGCGCCTGGGTGGCTCAGTGGCTTAAAGTCTCTGCCTTCCGCTCAGGTCATGATCCCAGGGTCCTGGAATCAAGCCCCACATCGGGCTTTCTGCTCAGTAGGGATCCTGCTTCCACATCCCCCTGCCCCCCCCCCCCTGCTTCCCTGCCTACTTGTGTGGTTTTTTGTCAAAAAAAAAAAACCTAAAAAAAAAAAAAAAAAAAAAAAAAATCAGGGCTTGTGAAAGGGATGTGGGTTTGGAAACTGCTGAACTGGGCACACGTTTTCTTTTGCCACATCCTACCTAACGTGTGCTGCCTCGCCACCCAGTTTTTGTTTTGTTCTGTTTTGTGTTCATCTTCTATAAAATGGGCCCCCAACAACCAATCTCTGGTTCTGGGAGGGGGTTGGATGAGTTGGGGAACACACAGGTTGCGTGCTGAATGCTGACTGTGTTTACCAGCTGTTTAACCCAGTGGCCCTCTCTCATCCCCCACCAAGACCCCAATTCAGCATGACTCCCAGCCTGTTCCTGTGTTCCTCCTTTCCCCTCATCGCGTTTCTGCAATGTCAAATGTCTTGTTTTTCCCTCCCAAGTGGCCCCTCCTGTGACTCCTGAGTCTGGTCACACAGCTTGTGGCAGGATTTCCCATAGCTTATTCAGGTCGGCACTGGTTAGGTCTTAATAGCTCTGAGTCTGTGTGGCCTGGGGTGGAAGATCTTTCCTGATCTACTCTCCACTTCTCAGTGAATACTTCATACGTTCTCAGAACTCCTTCCCTGTCCTACTTGTCCCTACTTGTAAGATGCCCACCTCCTAGAGTCTTCGGGCCTTAACCCCCAAAACACAGGGTTAGGTACCTCCTGGGTGATTAGGGATGAGCTGGTGGGGAATCCCCCTGCCTCAGGACATCTGGTCACGTCCTGAATAAGATGCCTTGGAAAGGAGGGAGGGGGGGGCAGCATTGTATGTCTCCACCACCTTCACTGATGTCTCTGTGTTTTGCAGCCGAGTTGTTCGCAAATCCATCGCCCGTGTTCTCACAGTCATCAACCAGACGCAGAAAGAGAACCTCAGGAAATTCTACAAGGTGAGTCTGGGCTGGGGGAGTTAGATGCTTAGCTGCAGGCAGCAAAGTTTCAGCCCTCCCTTGGCCAGAAGGGTAGTATAAAGAGCTTCTGCTGGGATGCATGGGAATGGGCTTTTTTGCTTCTTAACCAGCGTCTGCCACCGGCATGGCTCGCAGACCGCTTATCCTCAGGGCTGCAGTTGTCTGCATATCAACAGTGTGGTAAGAGTCTGGCTGGAGTTTGGGTTTGGAATTCATCCTCACCAGCTGAGTGGATTTGGGCAGTCTGTGAGGATTACCTTTAAATGTTTCAGATTGTTTTACCATCACTGTCAGTCACTTCCAAGCACCTGATACTCTCATTTTTCAGATGGGACCTCAAGGTGTAGAGAGGTTAAATTGCCCAGGTCACCTATAGTTAATGGAGTGATTGGGTCAGTGTTCCAAACCATGCCTTAGGGAGCGGTGGATTGAGTGCTTCTGGGAGATTTTTACCACCGTTTTCTGATCTTGTCCGCAATACTGGTGTTACCAGGGCTTAAGCAGTGAAGCAGAACCACTGAGAGACTTCATATGTGTGAATACATGCATCTGATTTATTACAAAGAATTGGCCTTTGTGATTTTGGGGGCTAGCTAATAAGCAAGCCCAGAATCAGTAGGCCTGGCTGTCAGGAAGGGAAGTTCATGGCAGGCCAGGACTAAGACGACACAGGTTGAAGCTGCTGTTCTCAGGTGGGATTTCTTGGGGGAGAACCTCTGCCCTGCATTAAAGGCCTTTGAGCTGATGGAAACAAGCCTGCTAAATCACCTGGGATGATCTCTCTCAAAGTCGGTTGAGGGGCTTTGAGTACATCTGCAAAATGGCCTCACGTCAACATCCCAGTTAGTGTTTGACTAGCTGGAGGCTTTCACTTGTCAAAAAAAGCCACCGTGTTGGGCCTAGGCTAGCTGCCTAGGGGACTCTAGCATGTACTGTTGGGCGGGTGGTGGGTGGGGGTTGCCGTCATCCCTGGATGTGTACATATTTGTGTGTGGGAGCGTCTTCCTGAGAATTGGGCTTGAAACTCTGATCAGGCTCTGTGGGCACCGCAGAGGTGGTCGTCAGGAAGAATTGTCTTCCAGTGAGTGCAGCCCCTGCCAGGCAGCACTCAGGGCCGTAAAGATGAGGCCTCTGCCCTCTGGTAGTTCTGTCCCATAGACTTTCTGCGGTGCTCGAAATGCTCTGTGTCTGCACCGTCCGGTACAGTAACCTCTGGCCACCCACGGCTGTGGTGGCTGAAGACCTGGGTTTGTAACGTGGACCGTATGTGTGGCTAGTGCCTCGTCTGGTGGACAGCAGAGTTCTGAGGGCTCAGTCTGAAATGGATGAGGCCCTTGCCTGTGCTGCTGGTAATGGGGATATGGGTGGACAAAGACTTCGCTTCCAAACCCCCACTTCAGAGCTTACCCTCATCTGTGCAGCTGGTTTCTGCAGCTCTCTGCCCTGAGGCTGTCACCCCTGTCCTGTGCCTCTGTCTCTGAGCTGTTGGCAGTTTCCAGAAAGCACCTGAGCTGCCATCCCTTGGAGCTTTTGTGCACGCTGTTTTCTCCCCCTTGGAAGTGGTATTCACCAAATTGCTTGCTTTCCAGGCTGTTGCTGGTCATTAGGTGAAACCTTAATCTCTTTCCTCCTCCCCAGTGGTGGGCCCCCTGTTAGCTGTTCAGTCTTTCCCAGTGGGCTAGGAGCTCCTTGGCAGGGACCAGGTCTGATTCACACTAAGGCAGCTCCCCCTACAGGGTCTCAGTCCCCTGCTGGGCTGGGTGTAGCACACCTCCTCACACTCAGGTCTACAGAGTAACCTCCACACCCCAGTGGCCTCCCTCAGTCACTTCCGGCATCCTCCCCATGCCCCCCAGCAGCTCAGTTCCAGCCTTAGGGGCTTCCTTTGCTGCCACAGTAGCTCCTAAACCCTGGTGCTCAGACTCCCCCTGCTCTCCGGTCACCCAGGGTAAGAAGTACAAGCCCCTGGATCTGCGGCCCAAGAAGACGCGTGCCATGCGCCGGCGGCTGAACAAGCACGAGGAGAACCTGAAGACCAAGAAGCAACAGCGGAAGGAGCGGCTATACCCGCTGCGGAAATACGCCGTCAAAGCCTGAGCGCTGGCGCCAATAAAACAGACAAACTGGCTGGTGTTGGTTTGTGTTTGCGGGCGTTTTGAGTAACCATGCTGGAGAGGCGGGCTGCTGTGCCCCGGTGTGGGGCCGTGACAGTCCTGGCCGCGGGGATCTGGTGGGGGCTCCATTGTGGTTGGTTTGGGGGCTGTGGTGTGGAGGTGCGCTCACTGTCCTTTCATGAGTTCATTCCGCCAGGTTGCGCGTGCCCCAGGCAGGGAGAGGCAGGCTTAAGATCTGAGAGCCATCTGTGGTGATGTTACATCCCAGAGGCTCTGCGTGATTTGATAGAGCAGTGCACTTGGCATCTTGCTTAGTGAGCAGCTCCAGACACTAAGAGTTTCCCATCTGGGGTGAAGGCGCAAGCATGGGCCACATCCAGGACTCCCTGCCAAAAGCATTTCGCTTTCAGGGTACATGTCCTGCCTGCCCCCAGCCTCCCCTGGCAGGCCTTTTACTACACCTTTGGGTGCTACGCCCACAGGCCTTACCTTCAGGGTTTCAATGCATTTTCCTGTGTTGCAGTCCCAGACTTTGACCTGGAAATAAAAACAAGCAGAAGGGTGGGGAGACCTCACCCCGTAAGTCTGACGTCCTTGAAATCACTTTGGGGTGAGTCCTAGCCAACCTCTTAACCTTTTGGCATGGGTTTTGTTCTCTGAGGTGTATTTAACATGCTCAGCATATCTGATGTAAAAATTCAGCGCAGTGCAGTTTTCTTTTCCCTGAAGCTGTGATGAGTCTTAAAAATGTCAATGCCAGGGGCAGCTGGGTGGTACAGTTGGTCAAGCCTTTGATTCTTGGTTTTGGCTCAGGTCATGATCTCAGTCATGAGTTTGAGCCCTGCATTGGGCTGAGCAGGGAGTCTGCTTAAGATATTCTCTGTCTCTCTCTCAGCTTCCGCCCCTCCCTGCTCCCGTACACACTCTCAAAGTGGGGAGGCACCAGGATGGCTTAGTGTGTTAAGCAACTGCCCTTGGCTCAGGTCATGATCCCGGGATCAGGCCCCACATTGGCCTTCTTCTCAGTGTGGGAAATCTGCTTCTCCAACTCTGGGCACTCTGAAAATCTCTAAAAAAGAAAAAGTCATTGCCACTAGCATTTGGGCCAGCATAAACCTTAGTGCCAGGTCATAGGTACAGAAGTGGTTGGCAGCTGGAACCCTCCCATTTAGGGCAAATAGGATATGGACATTTCTCAACTGCTGAGGGTTTTGCTAAAGGAAGATGTTGGGATAGGAGTTTGCCAGGAGGACAGGCCTGGTGGGGTGGGCTCACCATATGGGAGTAGCCAGCGCTGGCCAGCTGTGACTCATCAGGGGAGAAAGCTATGCTCTTCACCCAGGTAACATGGCCCTTGAGCTGAACAAGCAGGCTTCTGGTGGAGGGCTTCCAGATGTGGATAGTCTTATCCCAGGAGCCAGAAGCCTGGACAGCAGACAGCTCTAAGCCCATGGGTCTGGAGCCAGCAGGGGACCAGCCCAGAACCCAGGGAAACGCAGCTCACCAGGAGGCCAGATGCCGAGTAGCACAGGCAGCTGATGTTACCACTGTGGCCCTCCAGCTCGTGGGGGGAGATCACGGGGGTCTCCATCCGCAGGTCCCAGATGCAAATAGTGGAGTCCCAGGAGCCAGTGGCCTGCAGACATCTGCTGTGAGCATGAACCAGCTAACCCGCGCCCACCATTGTGCTTCCTAGCTAGCCAGACTCGAGAAAGGCCTTCTGAGCCCTGCTGAGTTTCCCGTCTTACAGATGAGGAAACAGGCTCAGAAGAGCAGTCACTCAAGGTCTGGGATTCTAACCACGGCTCGGCCCCAGTTGGGAAAGTGGGTATGGGCTCCAGGTTCCTTGCGGTGGGCTTGGGCAGAGGTGGTGTGGCTCACCAGGAAGTCTGAGCTGGGTGCGAAGTCACTGCTCTGGATGGCGTCTTGGTGCCCTCCCAAGTGGCGCAGCATCTGGCCGGACTGCAGAAGAGGGAGAGCGCCCTGAGCCTTGGAGGGCGGCCCAGAAGGCTTGTGCCAGATTCTAGGCCTCAGATGGGTCAGATCAGGCCCTCCTTGCGGGCTGCATGGGTAAGGTGATGACACAGGGTCTGGGGAGACTACCTGAGCCTTGACAAGAGGAGGCCAGGCCAGGTCAACCTCATGGGGAGATGGGTTGCCAGCTATGGGCCTGGGCAGTAGGGAAGATGGAACGACCTTTCTGGGGGCACTGTTGGGGCTGGGGTGTGTCTCCTCCTGGTCCCAGGTCCCGCTCTGGCCACCCTTCCACACACCTGCACTTCCCAGAGCATCACCCGCTTGTCCCAGCCGCCCGACGCCAGCTGCTTTGAGTCAGGGCTGAAGCTGACCGTCTCCACACTCCGCTGGTGACCTGCAGACACGAAGTTGGAGAGGGGTCACGGTGGAACAGGACACAACAAGATCTAAAAAGGAACCCAGGCCTGGCTGCTTGGCTCCTGTCCCATCCCGCTTACCCTTTAGGACATGCAGACACTTAGCTTCTGCTGCATCCCACAGGCGGATGGTACAGTCACAGGAGGTAGTGGCAAAAAGGCGGCCATCAGGGGAGAAGCGGCAAAACTTCACGGGACCTGGGTAAGCAGCCATGGTCGGGGAACAGGGTGCCGCCCTCCACTTCCGGCCCTTGCTGGCCAGCCCCTGCTAATTTCTCCCAGCCTTATCACATGCTTGCCTTCTCCCTTCTAACCCTCTCACCCCTCAGCTACCTGGCAAGCCAAGCTTCCATGGCTTCTCCTAGAACACCCCAACCCTAATTTGCCCGTTTGTAAAATCAATACCAAAAGCAAATGCAGGGACTTCCCAGTAACTTCTTGAGAGCCCACCCTGGGTTCAGAGTTCCAGCGCTGGACCTCCTGTATTATTAGCATTAGTCAGTCTGCCCTGTAATCACCAGATTTTTTTCTTGTCTCAATAATAATTACAGTAGTTATATCTACTGGGTCCTTACTAGGTGCTAGACACTTCGCTTGGATTATCTCGTCCCATAGGGTAGCAGCTATCTCTAAAGAGAAGGGCAATAGAGGCTCAGGTGACACAACTTACGATCTCAGTAAAAAAAAAAGTAGTTTCACATACATGAAACCTTGAGGGACCTCATGCCAAGTGAAGTAAGCAACTCACAAAGAGGAGTACTGTATGGTTCCGCTTACACAAGGTACCTAGAGTAAGTTCACTGAGACAAAGCACGGTTGTCGCCAGGGTCTAAAACAATACCAATTGTTTAATGGGTATAGAGTTTACAGTTTACAAGATGAAGAGTTCTGGAGACCAGTTGCATAACGAACATACTTAACACTACTGAACTGTGCACTTAAGAATGGTTAAGACGGCAAATATGTGTATCTTTAAACAATTTTTAGAACAATAGTAGAGTTGGAGCACCTGGCTGGCTCAATCAGTAGAGCATGCGACTCTTGATCTCAGGGTCATGCGTTCAGCCCCATGTTGAGTGTAGAGATTAAAATATTAAAAACAAACAAACAAAATAGGATCTGAGTCCAGGTCTGTTGGCATCAAAGTTCCCAGGGACCGTATCCTGTGTCCTTTCCCTACTGCTCCAGCCCTGCCCAGACTGTCTTGTCCGAATGCCCAGGTCAGATGTCAGAGGTCACTATGATAGGCTCTACAGAATGCCAGACAGAACCACAGGCCTTCGCGTCCACATCCAGCCTGAGGAGCCCCACCTGCATGGCCACTCAGCCTCCACAGCAGCTGCCCGCTCTGGGTCTCCCAGCCATACACACAGCCATCCTCAGATGCTGTCAGCAGCCTCTGGCCATCCGGAGAGAAGGCGGAGGAGTTGACCTGGAAGGAGAGCACAGAAGTAGCTCCTGCCTGGGGCAAGAAACACCTGTCAGCTTACCCTGACCTTAGACTCCAGGAACAGCCCCAAACACTGCCCCAGGAACCCTGGGTGGGAGCTTGGACTTCAGGCTTCCCTCTACAACCAGAGCCCAGAATGCCAGAACCACTCTTGCAATCCGAGGCAAGAACTTGGAGCCCTCTCTAGAATTCTGTATAACCTGAGCCCGCAGCTCAGAGCCCTCACTGAAAGTAGAGGCTGGAGCCTTTTCTAGGAGCAGAGCCAAGAGCCCATTCTAGAGATGGACCCTAGACCTAGGAGTTGAAGACCTACTCTAAACCATGAGTTCCCTTTAAAGCCAAAGTCAGAAGAACACTGGAGTCGGCCAAGAGTTTGAGCCCTCAAGAACCAGAGCTTAGAATCTGAAGCTGGGGGCCAGAGAACCCAAGGCAGAATCAGGAACCACTTTAGACCCAAAGACAGGAGCTGAGAGTCAGCAGAGCCCTACTGGACCTCACCTCCCCACGGTGCCGGCTGAAGAATTTCACTCTCCCCACGGTCAGCGGCCCTGGGGCCCCGCTGTTCATGGGCCCCAGGCCGCCTGGCCAGGTGGGCTCTCTCCCAGGCGGGCGCTGGTCCGGCCTGCAGCCCTCACTTGGGACAGGGTAGAGGGGATGGGAGAAGTTGTGTACACGCGGTCTCCATGGCAATCAGGGCGGGGTGCGCAACCGCCTCAGAGTCTCTGCGAGGCCAAGAGGACAGGTTGGGAGAGACGGCTCTCAGCTACTGGGAGGTGGGGCGCAACGGACAGAACCTCCGGGCGGCCCGGATTAGGGACTTCCACGCCGGCCACCACCGCCAGCCGAACCTTGGGCAGCTCGGATCGCGGGGCCAGACGACGCGCACGGCGGCCGCTAGAGGGCATGCCAGCCCCAAACACTGCGTGCCTGAACCCGCGCGCTGAGGCGAGTCATTCGCCCAGGGCTCCCAGACCCCTTTGAGAGGAGCCAGTTTCCCCATGTGCGCAATGGGGTTGTACATCCCCGCCCCCCAGGGTCTGCAGGCTTGAGCCAAGAGCAAGGCCTGGCATGTGGGGTAGGTGCCCAGGAGAACCCACCCTGGTGCCAGGACCTCTTTCCTTCTGGAGTGTCCAGTACTGAGACTGAACAGCTCCCATGGAGGGAGCTGGAACAGATACCCAGCTCTGCCCTGCCGAGTGTGTGTGTATTGGCGGGGCGGGGGGCCGGGGTGGGGGGTCAGAGGTAGTGTGTGTAAAGCACAGGGCATGAGAAAGTGGGGTCACTTGCTAACATCCTGGCAGCACAAAATGTGGCATCCGAGGGTGTGGAGATGGTGAGGAGGCTCCAGGAGTTGTCGAGTTCCTTGCTGGATAGTTGAAGCTGATACCAGACAAGAATGGGATTTGGTTTCAATGTTCATTTTACAGATGAGGGAACGGAAGCTCCACAAGGTGGGGGAGGACTTGCCCAAGGCCACTCAGGCAATAGGAAAGGAACTAAGACTTAGCCCTGTCTGACTGTCTGACTTTGTGGGCCTGTAGGACCATCTGCCATGAATTCCAGGAGCTTCAAGCAGATGCCAAGGTCCCTAACTCCTGGTACATCTGGGAAATTGAGGCCTTGAAGGGGCATATGTGGCCCAGTCATCCAGCACCTCTATGGCAGAGCTGGGCCCAGTCCCTCCAACGGGCCAGGGATGGAACAGAGACACCCTCCAATGGGCCAGGGATGGGATAGAGACATCCTCCCCGCCACTGTCCAGTGGATTCCAGGCTCCCTGGAGGTGGAGAGGTGGGGGAGCTGGGCTTTGGGAGCTTCAAACTCAAGGGTTCCCAGCCATGACTCACACCCCTCCACAACCCCCCCACCCCGACCTCTTTGCCAGACTCTTCTCACGAGATCCACTGTGCTCTTGCTCTATTTTAGGTCCCAGACAGTCAGGCAGGAGAAGGGGCGACAATGGTGGCTTTGAGGCGGCACCACCCGCATCCTAATTCCAAAAGGGCCCAGGTCACTGAGTTGGGCCTGTAAGGCCACTACCTCATCCCCAGACATGGGTGCATACACAGCTCCCCAGAGCTGTCTGGCTTCTGGGCCCTCTCCCCTCCCTCTGCGCTGGCAACCCCGCCCCCGAGTCCATGCCCCATCTGGCATTTCCCCAGCCAACTGGTTGCTCCTGCTCTACCTGGAGGGCCCAAAACCACCTAACCTAGTCCAGCCCATCACTCCCAGAGCCCTGAGAACAGACCTTGGCCACCAGCCCAGGGACTACTCAGCTGGTAGAGCTGGAGCTCGGGTTAAAATCTTTTTTTTTTGGTTGGAGGTGGGGGGGCGCCTGGTGGGTCAGTCCGTTAAATGTCTGCCTTCGGCTCAGATCATGATCCCAGGACCCTGGAATTGACCCTCACATCTTTCCCTGTCCCACTGCCTGCCCCTCCCCCTACTCATGCTCTCTCTCTTAAAAAAAAAAAAAAGGGGGGGGGCACCTGGGTGGCTCAGTGGGTTAAAGCCTCTGCTTTCGGCTCAGGTCATGGTCCCAGGGTCCTGGGATCGAGCCCCATATCGGGCTCTCTGCTCAGCGGGGAGCCTGCTTCCTCCTCTCTCTCTGCCTGCCACTCTGCCTAATTGTGATCTCTGTCTGTCAAAAAAAATAAAATAAAATAAAATAAAGATTTTATTTATTTGACAGAGCAGGAGAGCACAAGCAGGAAGGAGGGGCAAAGGGAGGGTGGGGGGAAGTTGTGAGGGTCAATTCCAGGGTCCTGGGATCATGATCTGAGCCGAAGGCAGACATTTAACGGACTGAGCCACCCAGGCCCCCCCCACCCATTCTTTTTTTAAAGTAAGCTCTAGGCCCACCTTGGTGCCTGAACTATTCATGACCCGAAGATCAAGAGTCACATGCTCTGCTGACTGAGCCAGCCCCCAGGATTAAAACCTTTTTGCTTGACAGCTGAGTTTGGGCTGAAACTACCCACCATGAATTCCAGGGGCCTCAGGAGCCAAAGCATATCCACCTCTCCTGCCACATCCTATCCCTGTCTGCTGCCCTCCCACCCCCATCTTGCTCCCCAAACTCAGCTACAAGGGCCCTTTTTCCCATCCCTCCAGCTTTTCTCCCAACCTGGGCCTGTGTACACAGGGCTCCCCATCCTCTTGGCCTGATGCTTGGGCTCTAGCTCAAATATCACTTTTCCAGGGCGCCTTCCCTTGCCCGTCCCCCAGACTAAGTCAGAGCTCCTGCCCCAGAGATGGGCATTAGAGCCACCGGTCTGGGTTAAACTCGAGTTCTGCCACTCTAGCTCTGCATACCAGGCAAGTCACCTGATCACTCAGGGCCCTGTTTCCTCAACTGTAAAATGAGCACCGTCACAGTGTTTGTCTTCTAAGGAATCGGTGAGATGGTGTTAGCAAGGGCTCCTGGCAAGCAGTAAGCCCTCAGAGAAGTGGGAGAGCTTGTGACAGCCATAAGCCTAAAATCCAAACATGACGCTCTGAATGTCCTTTGCCAGGCTCACCCAAGCGGCCCGCAGCGGGGGATACCTCACAACGTGGAAAGAACCTAGTGCCCCAGGGCAGTCCAACTCCATGCCCAGTGGAGGCTGAGGGTCTGGGCAGAGGGTTTGGTCCGTGGTGGGGGAAGGGAGGGCATGAGTGGTGGATCATGGTCACCATGGCAGCAGAAGTATTTCACTGGCCCACGTTCTGCCCTTGGGATTGGGAGAGTCTGATTCTAACCTCTCCAAAAGGGTCCTCGAGGATGTTTGCCATCCCTTTTGCCACCCCTAGACTATCTCTTCCTTCTCAGGGAGCCTGCCACATTCTCTCCCCAGCCCAGATTGTCCGGGGTGGGGTGGGGGGCAGGTTTTGCTGGATTTTTCTACTCTCACTTTACTCTTTTTTTAATTATCATTTTTAAAAAGGGTTTTATTTATTTGACAGAGAGAGACACAGCAAGAGAGGGAACACAAGCATGGGGAGTGGGAGAGGGAGAATCAGGCTTCCTGCAGAGCCTTTCCTGCTCATTCTTTCTCTCTCTCTCACTCATTCTCAAATAAATAAATAAAATCTTAGGAGAAAAAAAGTAGTAAAGCTTAGATTCTGATCCATGTCGATAACCCCCAAGGCCTTGGCTCATTCCATGCACCAGACACTCTTTCAATATAGCTTGGGGAAATTGGGGTATGAGCCCCCGTCCGCCCCCAACACGTAGCCCACTCTTCTGTGAATGGGACCTCACTACCCCTCAGGATAACCTATCCCATCACAGGAAACTCCCACTATTTTATTTACTTATTTTTTTATTTTTTTATTTTTAAAGATTTTATTTATTTATTTGACAGACAGAGATCACAAGTAGGCAGAGAGAGAGGAGGAAGCAGGCTCCCCGCGGAGCAGAGAGCCCGATGCGGGGCTCGATCCCAGGACTCCGGGATCATGACCTGAGCCGAAGGCAGAGGCTTTAACCCACTGAGCCACCCAGGCGCCCCTTATTTTTTATTTTTTTTAAAGATTTTATTTATTTATTTGACAGAGATCACAAGTAGGCAGAGAGGCAGGCAGAGAAGAGAGGGGGAAGCAGGCTCCCTGCCAAGCAGAGGGCCCGATGCAGGGCTTGATCCCAGGACCCTGAGATCATGACCTGAGCCAAAGGCAGGAGCTCAACCCACTGAGCCACCCAGACGTCCCCCACTATTTTTTTAAAAAAGATTTTATTTATTTATCTGACAGAGAGAGAGAGAGAGACAGCGAGAGAGGGAACATAAGCAGGGGGAGCGGGATAGGGAGAAGCAGGCTTCCCGCAGAGCAGGGAGCCTGATGCAGGGCCTGATCCCAGTACCCTGGGATCATGACCTGAGCTGAAGGCAGACACTTAATGACTGAACCACCCAGATGCCCCCAGGAAACTCCCACTGTTGGAAAGTCTTGGGTGAGTCAGAATCTGCCTCATACTGTCCAACAGAGTAGGAGCTAGGCCCAGCACACATCCCTGCAATTCCAGTCCAGGGACACAGCCAGCTAGCTCTGAAAGGCTACAAACAATCCAAATAGTCAAAAACTGTAGAAATAGATGATTGTATAGCCAAACCATGACAGCTACCCCGCCAGGGACATGAACAACACATAGCTCTGATATCGATGTGCCAACATCTCACAAACACGCTCAGCAAATAGCAACGTAGTAGGAGGGTGCTCTAGACATGGTCCCATCGTATAAAAATTAAGACATGCCGAAGGCAACCCTCCATTACTCAGGCATACATCCACGGTACTGAAACTTTAAGAAAAACAGGGAATGACAAACTTCCAAATTGCCAGAGCGGTTGACTATGAGGAGAAGAAGGGAGGGGACACAGGGGGCCTGGAACAGTCCTCGCTCCTGGTGGTAATTCTGGCTCAGAGCTGGGCCATGGGCATCCAGGTGTTTGTTGAGTTGGTCTCTAATACTCTGCCCTGCCTATCTGGCCCCTGTCCACCCCTCCTGCCCGCTTCTGGCTTCCTCACCTCCTCCTCCATCCCTTGTGTCCACCACCTGTGGTCCTGAGCAGCTTAGGGCATCACGCAAT